TCAACTTGTTGCCTCTCGTCGGCGATCTATTTGGTCAACCGGACAGACTTCATACATACAATAACAATATGTAGTGGGTTCTGATGCGGAGTCTGTTGTGGGTTTAGAAACATTCCCCGCTAAACAACAACAATCATAACAAAAAGGCTCAACGAATTGAAGAGTTGTTTTTCTCGGGTATTTATACAAGTTAGTAAACCGATAACAGGCATCCGAGCTTTATCGAGCTTGGCTGGCTGTGACCATCTATGAACTGTGAATCAAATGAATAGATTTCTTTGTCCTCTTTAGTTTATATATTTCGAATTACTTATTTTTCTTTACCTTGTTACTTTATATCATACAGTATAGAGCAGCTTTGTAGTAGCTTAATGGTTGGTGCTATAAGTGTTTCTTTATAATTTCATATTCACTGTGTTCTCCGTCCATTCTTACAGCAGTGATATGATCCCAGGAACGAAACCTAATAGTTTGTTTTTTTAATTCTCTCTATGCATGTATAGCCATTGTCAAATTCTGAGAGAGCTAGACATAGAAATGATTTAAGAATTTTTCGCAATTGATACCTGAACCAAAACCCTGCCGTATAAATTGAGGGAGAACACTGTTAACATAAATATATTCTAAAGAGAAATTATCTAATGCTGTGTCCTCCCCCCCCCCCCCAACACATCTTTTACATATACAGTGAAGAAACTCTTTAAAATAAAGAAGAAAGTCCAGGTCTAAAAATAGATGGAGAAAACAGTAATGACATCAAAACATATATCGATGATACTTTTTGAATTGCTGGTTCGAAATAGGACTTGCAATATATTATTGCTTTTTGATCATGTTCATACGGAAACTAAACATAAATGTATACATGTAAATAAAAAATAAACAAAAGCAACAATATAATGCCTGAAAATGTCTTTAAAAAATCCCCAAACAAGCAACCCTTAGAAAATCCTCTTATTTGTAATCTCATTAGCAAAGGTGAACATTCACACAATATCAACTCTTATAATGTCTAGAGAATAGTATGATCATTTCATCTGATGAAGAATGTACCACTGAAAAAAGAAAACCTCGAAGAGTTGCAGTAGCTTCAATAAAGGAGCTGAATCTTGAAAGAACAGCTCTGTAACAACAAAGTAATATTTCTAAATGGCTTGGTGTGGCTAACTTTTCTATACAACTGTAAAGGCTGGGACACTGCAAGGGATTGTGAAAATAACTTGAAGCAAAAGACATCTTATGTGTCTGAAGAGACTGTTCATTCGTGGAAGAAGAAGAAACGAGATGAGAATGGACGGGAAAATATTTCGAAGAGGCAAATGCAACTTTTGGGACACTTGAATCGAGATAAAAGAATTTAACATTAAGCTCGCTCAAAAAAATAGAAGGCAAAAGAAGCAGGGGTAGACCAAGACCAACTTATCCCGAGAACCTGAACAGATGGATGATGGGGAAAGACCACGACAATAGGATGTCCCGAGAACTTGAACAGATGGATGATGGGGAAAGACCACGAAAATAGGATGTCCCGAGAACTGGAACAGATGGATGATGGGGAAAGACCACGACAATAGGATGTCCCGAGAACTGGAACAGATGGATGATGGGGAAAGACCACGACAATAGGATGTTTGTTTTTTGACAATTGAGGCTATTTATATTTTTATCAAGACAATGAGCGGTAAACCATGACCGCCGACGTCCGTTTTAGATCTGACACTTCATGATGTTTTAAGGCCATCCTCATCCTCTCCTCTGAGCCAGAAAGTGACTCACCCTTCATGGCTATACCACACCTAATTCTATGTAATTGTGTGTAGTTGGGACGTTTGGACCGTTTGAACATACTTTGGGCCATTATTCTTCAAAGGCCTTTAATTTAAGAACATCGTTCTAAAAAAAGTGGGTCTGCATGATTCGGATTCGAACCCAAGTCAGACATAACTACATGGACAATGATTCAGCTTCTGAGTTAGCAGCACGCATTTATAGAGAGGTTTCAGGTGCTTGGTATATTTTCAGAAAGTGTGAACTTTATAAGATTAAACATTCTCACTGATCGGATTATACTTAATATGAAAGTTTTCTTATACACCGCTTCTAGACAGTTGTTTAAAGCTATTTGAACTGTAAAATCTACCCCTCCGTCTATCTGTGTGTCTGTGTGTCTGTGTGTCTGTGTGTCTGTGTTTGTGTCTGTCTGTTTGTCTCTTCCTCTCCCATGTTCACTATATTCTCTCTTTCCACACAGCTCCAACCTCCCCTTCCCTTCCATCCCTCTCCCCTCATCTCCCCCTCTCCCCCTCTCTCTTTCTTTCACTCTTCTTCCCTCTCAACCCTCCAGTACAGCTAGCCTACCTGTACCCACCTTTGAGTTATTCGCGAAACACCAAGTTGTTATGCGTCCCGCTTCAATGTACGGCCGGCTACACAATAGGCCTCTGTCGCAGCCACTGGATAGAAAGCAGGGAAGGAAAATACATGTATAAACGTCTCTCATGTCATCTAGGGTCATTTCTTTGCATTCACAAGTTCGATTGTATTTCTTCTTTTAGCGTGAAGTCTTTGAAGCATTAATGAGTTCCAATTCGGCATGTACACTTCATAGCATTTCCTGTGTTGAGTTTTGAACCGACGCACATACTATTATGTAAGTAAATGTCTCACTTGTAATTTTCACTGCATTCAAACTATAACAGTTTTTTGGAGGTTCTATTTCTTGCACTCAATGTTAATTTTTCGTCATCTTTAGTCGTCTTAAGTACGTGGCGTAATGATGATAACAATGGTAGTCATAGTGATGGTGATACTGTCCAAAGAGCTTTGGCTACTATTGCAGCTATTCCTTATGTTGTTAATTCTATTGGTGCCATTGCTGTAGTTGCTGCTTTTGCTGCTGATGATATAGTTGACGATGATGATGATGATGATGATGATGATGATGATGATGATGATGATGATGATGATGGGGTAAGACTGCTAAAAAACCCCAACACAAATAACAAAACAAAACACAAGAACAAAGTTGGAGTTCAAAGTCATGGTAAAAATCTGTCACGCTTGGATGAAGGAAAGCTAATGGCAAAAGTGGAAACAAGGTTAGATCGAAACACAAATGAGAAAGAGAGAGAGAGAGAGAGAGAGAGAGAGAGAGAGAGAGAGAGAGAGAGAGAGAGAGGGAGAGAGAGAGAGCGAGAGAGGGAGAGAAAGTGTGTGTGTGTGTGTGTCTGTGTTTGTATGTGTTTGTGTGGGTGTGAGATATATATATATATATATATATATATATATATATATATATATTTTACATACATACGTACAGACAGAGAGAGAGAGAGAGAGAGAGAGAGAGAGAGAGAGAGAGAGAGAGAAAGAGTGAGAGAGATAAAGGGAGAGAGAATTAGTATATAAAAGACGATATATTTGCCTACAGACAAAATGAAAAGATGGCGGGAAGAAAAAAACGTTCGAGCCTATTTGAAGCAATCTTACCGCGGTATGTCAGTTATTACGAACAAAATTCAAGGGATTAATGATCGCCACAACCCTTCGTCTTCAGGCTCTTTAAATGCTCGCTTTGCTTTGACTTTCTTACCAGTAAACACTAAACCCACGAAAGAAGACGGACGGCTAAAGTAACTTTATGACATCATAAACTTCACGCAGATGGCAATCCTTAAAGAGAGAATCCGCACATAATCAAGGATTGCAGTCAGCTGCTTAAAGCAAAGAAAATTGTAAAAGTAGCCGGACGGGTTTATATAACGAAACGGTTCCTTTTTGTTTTAAATCTCAAGCCACTGGGTTCCGACAGTCGCTAACTTTAACTACACGGATTTGGCATCAAATAGTTATGAGTTACTGCTTGTCTTTGTTGTAGATACACACTACTACTCGCAAAAAGGTAACTTCGAAGAACCAGCATCTGGATCCGGATCTGGATGGTGTACTGAAAGAACATTCCACAAAACCCAATGGAAGTGAAAGGCCTACTTTTATATCCTTAAAGTTCCAAAATCAACAAAGTTTTGCATACCTTCATCGTCACGCACTTTTTTCGCCCCCCCCCCCTTCCTCGTTACATGAATGAGTTACCTGTCTCAGAACTTGATGTTTATCCAATAGCCTGAGGTGGACTGCTAAAATAATGGGAGAAATAGTCTCTTCAAGTTCAATAACTCCCTCAGCTCCTTTTTAAAAATCTAGCAGTAGCAGGGATCTTATTCCTTGATTCTACACAGTACAAAGCAGACTGCACCCCCAAAAAAAAACAACAACAAAAAAACAACAAAAGCAACAACAACAACAACAACAACAATAAAACCCAAAATAAACGAAACAAAACAAATCCAAACAAAAACAAAACAAACAAACGAAGGCAAACAACAGCAAAAACACCCCCTACCCCCCCCCCCCCCCACACACACACACAAAACAACTGTATACTGCAACCACGAGTTACGTAGACACGCGATGTTAGAAAAGTGCAATTTCTATGGAAGAACCTGTTTGCTCGTGATGAATGTGAAGTATTCTTCATAAACCTTTAGAAGCCCAAATTATTACCTTTCTCCACTTGGATGAGAAATATCTTTGAAGGGAGTACATTTTGCATAAAAAAAGCGAGAAAAAAAATTCTGGCAGGGTTTACTGACCCTCAAAGGCTGGGGCTTGTCTGTTTGCAACATGAACCGTCTGAATATATTTTATAGTGTGGTTTTAAGTTCTAAAAACCACAATGTTTTCTATAAATATTTATGTGCTTCAGTAGAGGCATCCAATAAAAGTGAACAAACAACACCATTTTTATTGAGGCGTAAAATCTTGCAGTAATGACATTTGGCAAGGGGGTTACACTAAAATACTGATAGATCTTTAAGGAGTTTTGAAATTGAATTGCGACCTGGAAAGCATATTGATACCTTCATACTCAATAATATTATCATAATCTACTTATTCCTTGACTTGATTTTTCAAAAGTATTATCACATTTTTCTACACAGGTGTAAGAGAAGATGTGAAATCTGTTGCCGAGGAGCAGGTACTTCTCAGATTTTGTGACCGGTCATCGCAGACGAACTGTTCAGATGAACATCTGTGTTGCTCTCTCAGAATGTGAACATCCGCATCGCGAGGACATCATCCCATTTCTTTCTGTTGGGACTGTCTTACGTTATCTGTTGTCCTAACAGATGATTAGTGGCAGGTCGTTAGACTTATAGGAACATTAAATACGTATCGATGCTAACGTTCGTTGACTCTGCCCTTCAATATTTTTATTCCTCAAAGAGGTTGTGATTTTTTTTCATTTGTTGTTGCTTATTGATTCTGGTTTTAAACAAAACTGGATAGCAGTCGTCTGTCTGCTAAGGTTCATTCGTCTACAAGTTTTCACCGACCCGCTGCGCTACCTACACAGAGTACACATTGTAGACTCTCCTACAAAGCGCCGTTCATTGCTACACCAAGGGAAGGCCGTGGGAACACATGATTGGAAACTCTGTCCTGGATGAATCACTGCTCTTTTGTTCAATCCCACTTTAACTTTTGAATGGAAAATAATGAATGCCAAAGGCAAGCTTAACTTGTACCGTATTATGGCAGAAACATTTTCCCTCAGAAATAAATACCAATTTTTGTGTTTAAAAAGGCTACACAAAGGCTAGGGCGATACATTTTTGTTTAAGGAGATAATAGACTCTATAATTTTTTCCGCAACTTATTGTATTCCAAAAAGAAGCAGTGGGCAGAATTTCAGGTCGGCTTTTGCCCAAAAAATTGAAGCTGAAACCAGTTAGAGATCCAGGTGCCTCAACATCTGCATCTTAGATATAACATTGACTCATTGATAGAAACCTTAGTTGTCTTGTCTTCACAATTGTTGTGAGAGCTTAAGTTTCATTGTTATACTTTGTTTTGTTTTTGTCATCATCTGACAAACCTCGTGTATTTTACGGCCTGACACATCGAACCGAAGCTTGAGCGGGACAATAATTTGTAGATCCTGTTTCAGTCTCTTCTCTCTATCTACCTGTTGTGGGCACCTGGTGTGTCCCATCCCGAGTCCATTCCCCCCTCACTCTATCCTCTATGCCTTCCTCGCGCAACAACTCATCTCGCCCCAGCCTTCTCGCGCGCTGCCGCGGATTCTGCTGTGGTACAGGGGACGAGGGAGACGAGCCATACTACCCTGACGTCACACCACTGCCCGACTCCGACGGTCCAAGGAACGGCGGCACAGGAGGAAGAGGGGGAGCCCTAAACGGAGGGGGACGTTGGAGCGAGCCCGGTGGAACTTTTGACACAAACGTCAACATGAGTGGTGTCTACGAGGAACTTCGCAGGAAGTGCCTGCGGGAAGGGAAATTATACGAGGATAAAGAATTTCGTCCTGTCGAAAGCAACTTGTTCCAGGGAGGAATTATCTATTCTGTGGACTGGAAAAGACCTAGGGTAAGTAGATGTTAGGTCTATGTTGTTACTACAGTACTGTACATGTACGTCTTTTCAGAGACAATCCCAGGAGTAGATGCCTTTGTTATCTTTGTGTTTGTGTCGTGGTTTTTGTTTTGCTTCCGTTCTTGTTGATGGTCACGATCGCACAGTCACCTCTGTTTCAAGCTGTTGAATGTATGGACTGAGTCTTGATATCATTTTGATGTACCATGCATGCTTAGGGGAAAAACTGACCGCTTGTGAAGAATGGCTGTTATTTATTTTTTATGGCAGCCTGTTTGTTTTCCTATGGTATGTTTCTCGGTTTCTGTTGATTCATTTGTTTCTGTCTGTTTGCTTGTCTTCTTGAGTGTCCATTAGAACTATGTTGCTTTTTTCAGTCTGTATCAGCTCATGTCATGGGTGCCTGTGTTAAACTTCTTGTTTTGTCATACTTTCCAATTAGGCAGAGTCTGTTTGTGTATGCACACTTGGCTATTCGTCTGTTCCTCTATTTATATTTGTCTGTAAAATAAAATATGAGGGACGGAAGAGGTCCCCACCTCGGTTTTAATATTGCAATATATTCTTCCGTAGGGTTGCTCTATCATATGCAATCACAATATTAAGAAAAGAGAGTCAACATTGAACCTCTAAAAGTACACAGAGCATAATAAAAGCCAACTCTCTCCTTCTGAATTGAAATGTTAATGGACTGTGAAAACTTAAGAGAGTTTTTAGCCTTGTAGCAGCTGTTGACACACACTTGAAATGTAACCCACGATAGCGTAAAATGATGATAATCACAAACGCAGGGAATTCAGTTACTCTTCCTATTTTTAGACGAACCATCAAAAGTACAAACATATTATTGTTCTCTCTCTCTCTCTCTCTCTCTCTCTCTCTCTCTCTCTCTCTCTCTCTCTCTCTCTCTCTCTCTCTCTCTCTCATA